TCAACCAACAATTTTTTTTTTTTTCTGCGGTTTACATTCTCCTTTCCATCACAGCATCTCCTGACAACTCTCTTGTCCTTGTTGTAAACAGTTGTAAACTTAATTTTGTTTTGTCATTAGAAAAATATCCATATTGCTTATGAATGTTTTAAAATGCAATTGATAATGATATAATAACACGAACATTGTGTAAGTGGGTGCATGGATTTAAATCAAAACTTTCCTTTTCTTATTGAATTCTTTTCAAAACCTTTAATTTTCCGAGATTAAACGTTATACTCCCTGTTCTCCGCTTAGCTAAAGGTGAATTTCTACGTACCTGAGAAGACGGCGTTTAAAATAATTGTGAAATGCTTATAGTATCACAGATGTCTGTCTGTACGTTTGACTCTTAAAAGCTAATTTGTTCCTATTTTGGTCTCTCTTCTTAATGAACTTTCATTAATAGGGAGCTAATCAAGTGTCCATATCATCTACGTGAAATAAATACTTCAATCATTATCAGCCTCGACAAACTGAAAGTACGAAGATCAAGCTGGCAACTTTGAATGATGTAAGAAAAATTGGATTCGTGACATCTCCGAATGAATCAAACTATTAAAATGTAAATTAATTCAAATATTAAAAAAAAAAAAAGCTTGAATCTAAGGGGATTGTTTATAGCATTTTGATTTGAAAAAACTGATATTACAGATGTCTCTATTTTTTTTTTTTTTATTATTGCATCCGTGAGGCACCCCACGGGTTCCAACGGTCGATCCGCTAAAAAAATAGGATTGTTTTTCGCCTTGTGAAAAAATGATATCACAGTTGTCTCTCTGTTTGCCTCTTGCTGCTGTTTCATACAAGAGGCTAGTCACAGCTTCCGGAAAAAAAGAAATCAACTCTTTGGCACAACAGACAATTTGCTTACGTACTTTGAATGAGCAGACGCTGATGAGGAAGTCGTTATGTGTTTATTGAAGAAAGTTTCAGTCATCGTCGCTGGCGTGTGCTGTTTAAACGAAAGATTTTTCGTTGTCAGTTGCCTCAGCACAAGAAAAAGGAAACGAATACAGAACAATGTCGGCAACAAAGTTCACTTGCGGTGGAACACGGACGAAACTATTTGAAGAACTGTTATCCACCCCCATCTTTTGCAGGTGGATTACATCAAAGATTTGCTTTTTCCTCCGCAGTGCTCATTCTCCTCTCCATCACAGCATTCCTTACAAATTCTCTCATCCTTGTTGCCCTTCACAAGGAACATTCCCTCCACCCGCCGTCTAAACTCTTGCACCGTTCTCTGGCAATAACTGACCTGTTGGTTGGTCTTGTTCAGGAACACTGGAGCCTTTGTCGATACGACGTTAAACCCGTTTCTTTACTGCTTGAGGATAAGTGAAGTAAGACAAGCAATGAAGCAGACAATCAGACAAGCACTTTGCTGTCCATGGAGTTAGACTATGTCGAGTTTTACCCGATCGTACTGGTACTTTCAGTTCAAAACTTGTATTTTTTTCACATCTTAACAACTAAAGGGAAGGCAATGGAAAAGCTAACCATAAATTTGTAAAATTATTTTTAATGCTACCTTACATTATCATGATTAGATCAATTCATAATCTAAGAAAAGATATGCCCGCGCATGATCATACTATCACGTTTGTTATTATAAGAAAATGTAAGGAACAAAATTGAAGCAAGGACGGTTAGTACAAAGTTCTCTTTCAGGTTCACCGTTTGAAATTATATGCTAACGGGGAAAAAGGAATATTGAATAAAAAAAAAAACCATCGAATTTTAAAAATATTAGTTAGAATGGGTCGTTTTATAATCAACTTGTTCCTGGTTATTTTTCAGTTGTCTCCAAGTGATTTTGATTCTATGTTTACCATTTCCGAGCGATTAACTGTCCTAAACTTTCCCCTATATTTCTTTCAAGTCGTTTCATAAAGTTTTATTGAATTCAGAATTGACTAAAATACAGCGAGAATATTTCCAATTGATTATCGGGCCTAGAAATAGCAGTATATCTAAATATACTGCTTATTTCTTTACTTAAAAAGTCGAAGTCGAGTCCCTTTAATGTATTGAAAACAGTAATATAGCCGATGTCTTCACGTTTGCCATGGGATATGACTTTAGTGCTAATTTGTACTTGAAGTAAATTTTATTGATTGAGGTAAACAGCTAATAGCAGCCAATTTAAACACAGCGGTCAAACACTGCGCATGCACGTGTTTTGAAAAGAATACAAGGGATTTTCAAACGCGTGTATTACGTGAAGTGAAGAAGGAAAGTTTAGATTCTTAACTATTTCAAATTGAATGCGTAATATAGTTGAAAGAGGGATTTCCGAGAGAGCTTAAAGCTTGATCTTATTTTATGTTGAGATATCTCAACTTATTTTTAACACAGACGCCTTGTTCCGGCGATGAAGGCAAATTACAGAAGCTTACTTTTACCCTCGCCAGCATGGCAAGCTTGCGACTTCATTTACACCGCTAAGCAAAGTGTGAAAAAAAGTACGAGAGTGTAAACTAGCACAACATGGGTCAAGTCTAAAACAACAATGTGTATAAGTCTAGGCCTTAGAAACTTTGAACTTTCCCAAGAAACAGCAAAAAACTACGCATCACTTAGATTCTCAATGTTTATAATAGCAGATCATCCATCTAAAAGCGCATGCGTAATCATTTGACCGCTGTGTTGCCCATTTATCACTGTTTACGTTAGTTGCTTGTTGCGCACCAATCTATAGTAAGACATATCAGTCACACTTAGTCGTTATATGGAGAGTATCAGTTGTCTCACTTTACTTTAACTTGAATGTCCGTTCTTTACTGCTGGAAAATTAGTGAAGTAAGACAAACAGTAAAACAGACAATCAGAGAAGAACTTTGCTGTCCGTAGCGTTACCTCCTCCTCGGTTTGGTTTTGTAAGACTTTCATTAAGTCACGATTGTTATTAGGGAGCGCTCGTCAAAAATATTACTGATTAAGCGGAAGAAATAAGAAGTTCAGTAGAATCGTTGTACATCGATCTTTTGTCAATAGTCTTTTTAAAGAGTAAACGCTAGTGAGGGAGTCTGAAGTAAATGTTGCTGATGAAGGTAGAATTGAAGAACTGTGCGGCGAGTTTTGATAATTCCTTAGCATACGTCCATTGATTTTGGACCACCACTTATTAATTGTTTTCTTCACTTCAGTATTATGATGTAACCGTTGCAATTAAAGTAGAATTTTGAAAATTTCCCTAGAGCATCACAAAGTTACCTGCCGTTTACACGAGAGCTTTCTTTATACAAAAACACCTTTATTAGCTCACTAACAAGACGTAGGAAGAAAGGATATTATATCACAGGGTCACATAGGCTAACTTTTCCCCGTAATTGCTTAGTATTGTTCTCAGTAAAGGGAGAATATTTATATTTAATAATCGGCCCTTGAATGACATCTTATCTTAATATACTGTTTATTTTATCATTTAAAAAAAAGGTATTATTAATCTATTTGTTTGTCAAAGAAATTAACTTTTAGTGCTAATTTGTACTTAAATTTAAATTCACTGATTCAGATTAGAAACTTGTCGCAGCACACCCAAATGCGCTAGTGGTTCGATCGGCTGCAGTCGCTATTCGGAGGAATTAAAATTTCCAGGAGAAAACTCCTGCTCTGCATTAAAGAATTGAATGAGTTGTTTGTTTGTCTATCAGCAATTTTCCCGTCTGAAAATAAAACAATGGATCTAAAGTTAATATCTAAATATATATATAAATCCATTTTCGAAAACGTTGCTATTTGAAAAAAAAATATATTAAATAGTCTGTGTATATATTTTTTTTTTCTCATCACAAAGTGTCTCTTTTTGATGAGCAAAGAAAATATATATTTCTTTGATATATATATATATATATATATATTCAGTTTTGAAAGGTTTTCAAAAACAGGTATTTACATATATTTATAGAGCCGAAGGAAATGCAGTCATGTAAACGAGGCCTAAAACAAGTCCGAATCTGTCTTGACAAGCAGGTGTCTTCTTAACAACTTATTCGTTCCTCAGTGTGCGATGAAAAGCACGTGGCAGTTTTAGTGAGTTTGAAATATGGGTCAGGGTTGGTAAAGACGAAGCCTCTCCTAGAGCAATTGTAATTTTTTTATCGACTGCTGATAAGCCTTGAGCGCCCATCCCTTCATTTTCCATTTCGATTAACAAATTATCTTGTAACTAATTGTCATCTCTAAAGGAGAGTCATCAACTGTTTAAGAGAATCGCTGGAACAAAAATTGAATAACTTTCCTTTTACAGTTGCAGAAAATGGTTTGCTGGTTTGACAACTTGATTTTGTTACTATTTTGTTATTAGTTCTAGTAGGATACGAAACGGAGAGAAAAAAGGCTTCAAAGCGCAATTAGATACACAGTTAATTTCAAATATTTTGAAACAAGTTTGTATGTGTGGCCGCATACATTAATTTTGAATAGTTGCGTAGTCTACGTAGTACATTCGGTTGTTGTCACGAATTCAATTTGTCTTCTACAACAATTGACATCGCCAGCTTGAGCTTTTGCATTTTTAGCTCTCCGTAGCTGATAATTCAAGTCTTAACTTCGCACGAAAGATATGGACCCTTAATTAGCATCCTATTATAATGGAATTTGATACTGATAAAGAGTGACTCTTTACCGAATTGTAAAAAACATTGAAATAACAGATGTTTCTATATTTGCCTTTAGTTGCTATTTCATAACTGAGGAACCCAAAGGTTCCCGAGGAAAAAAATATTTTTTGACCCAATGGAGAATTTCCAGTTGCAATTTAAATGAGTAAGTCTTTATGCGACTGTTAGGCAGAAAGTTAGGCTTCAGTAGTCATTGCTGCCATTTTTCGTTGCAAGAACAGAGACCCACAAGAAAAGGGAAAAGCCGACGACAGAATTATGTTGATATTAAATTTCAGCAGCGGCAGAAGTCACACGAAATCGTATGAAGAACTGATATGCTCTCCCTCTTTGATGGGTGGGCATCAACAACTATCAATTTTTTTCTTGGCAGTTTACATTCTCCTCTCCATCACAGCATTTGCTGGGAATTCTCTCATCCTTGTTGCCCTTTATAAAGAATCTTCCCTACATCCGCCGTCCAAACTCCTGTATCGTTGTCTGGCGACCACTGATCTGTTGGTTGGTCTTGTTGCCCAGCCTCTCTATGCTACATATTGGATGTCCGTGTTTCAAGAACATTGGAGCCGTTGTCGATACGCCAGGGATGCAGGCTACGTCACAAGCTATGTATTGATTTTAGTGTCTTTGATGACCATGACGGCCATAAGCGTGGACAGACTTCTCGCCCTGTTGTTGGGGCTGAGATACAAACAAATTGTAACTTTGAAGCGCACGTATATTATTGTAACTACCTTTTGGGTTTTTAACATTGTCGCCTCTTTATGTGGAATTTTTTATCCTAGTATAATCTATTTGTACAGCTCCCTAGTTTCACCATTTTGCCTGGTAATATCCTTCGCATCGTACACAAAGATTTTTTTGCACTCTCAGAAATCATCAAGCACAAGTACGAGATCAACAACAGTCGAGCCAAACAAATGCACTGAACATGGCACGATTCAGAAAGGCAGTGGACAGTGCACTGTGGGTGCAGTTAGCATTAGTTGTTTGTTATGCGCCAATGTATACAGTGGAAATTGTGGTCACTCGCACTAACAAATATTCATTACTCTTAGTCATCTTACGGAAAGTAGCAATTATTTTACTTTACTTTAATTCGACTTTAAACCCGTTCCTATACTGCTGGAAGATTAGTGCAGTGAGACAAGCAGTGAAGCGGACACTGAAAGAAGCTCTTTGCTAAAATAGGTCTTTCTTGAGTTGTTCATCAGACTTTCAAAGCAGGCTCATTAAGTCACGATTATTATTAGAGAGCAGTCGTTAAATAAGTTATTGGATAAAACCAAATAAGTGGCTCAATGAAATAGTTGCGCAGGCTGTTATCGATAGTCTTTATATCTCCGTGAACAATTTAACGACAGACTAAGTAACCCAGCTATGTGTTTTCAAAAATAAGGTTTCTTGTCGCTATGCTACAAGACAAGATGTCATAACGCAAGAAAATATATGCAAACATTTTACTGTCAAGGTTTCTACTCTTAGCAATAAGAAGGCATCAGATAAAACTTCAAAGAGTAGTTTGAGAGATGTGTTTGAGGCCGATGGTGTGTGTTACGATAAAACTATTTCAACTAGTTTTCCTATAATTAAAAGAAAGCGCTTGACGTTGATGTTGACGCCATATTGCCATAAGAGACGGTCTAGCTTCAGTTTTGAATTTGCTTTGTTATCAGAAAAATATCCGTAAAGCTCATGAGAAGAAGTTTTTGTTACTTGTATATTTAACTGAAAGTTACGAAAGTAAATGGAATAAAATTGACCATCTCTGTTTGTTACAGAACTTTTTTACAGATCGATTGATGTTCTGAAATTATATTGGCAACAGCGAAAAACAAGTTTCGCATCATTTGCATAGAGGTCCAGTTTGTCGCTTATGTATCTTTAGGTTGCCTCTGAGTTTTACGGATTTTATTTCCTCCATTTCCAAGTGATTACCTGCTGTCCCGAAGTTCCACAATTTTTTTTTTTTATTGAGTCGTTTTCAAAGCTTTATATAAGCTCACACTTTCCTTCAATATCATACCATCTAATTATCGCCCAAAGAACGACATGTTTATTTCACCCATTAAAGAAGTGACAAAATGGATCTTTTAAGACTTAGGAGGCCCATATCGTATTGTAAAACAAAAAACATAGCCCATGTCTTTGTGTTTGTCAAGGGAATTCACTTTCAGTGCTAATTTGAAATTAAACTGAAACTTTATTTACTGAAATCAACAGCTGGTTGCGACGAACATGTTCTTGTTTAATTATCAAGGTACTGAATTATCATAGAGGATCAGAAAGAAAATTCCCTGGGAAAGAACTCTTGTTAAGGGAGGGATTGACGCATTTTCAGCGATTAAGATTAAGCTGATTTTTCTGTCAGCTAATCCTCCGTTGGTAAAGGAAATGACTAATTTGAAGCCGGAATAAAATATTAAATCTATCGAGAGAAATCATTTTGCAAAAACGAAAATTTTTCCAACTTAAAACGAGGCGGCGTGTTTGTGGTGGTTAACTAATTTTTCCTAATCTTTGACAGGTTGTTTTTAACAGTTGTTTCGTGTGTGACTGTGCGGCCATTAAATATACGATAAACGCAGGAAGTTTGAAGAGCTTGAAAGATACGCTGGAGTTACTTAACACGCAACCAAGAGTGATCGTAGGTTCATAAATAATAAATGCTGTTTATGTATGTTTAACAATGTGTAGTTTTTAACTCGACATCATCGCGGGAATAATCAACAAAATTATTATTCACTTCATCTTCGGCAAATAATTGTTAAATATTTTTATCGAATGTTGATAGTTTTTAAGTATCGATTCCTTCATTTTCCTTCTCGGTCAATAGAATATCATGTCCAATTTAACACAGTCACATAACCGTTGCTTATCGGAGGACAATTGCCAATCGCTCAGGGGAATTACGACATGAATAATTCAGTTACTGCTGTATACATGAAAGCGTTGGCAGAGAAAAATTTAGGCGAGCTTCGTCTTACAATTTTTCCAAGACAATCACTTTAAAACTTTTGGCGAAAGGAGGAGAACAAATAGAGAATGTAAAAGAAACAGCGAAAAATTGTTTAAAAAAGTAATTTTTTGCCTTTCTTCTGTTTTGTTTCTCGTTTTGTCGGAGACGAAACGGAGGTAAAAGAGCCGCAAAATGTTACTAATTAAGTTTGCATCTGAGGCCATGGCTCAATCTTATTTACGCAAATGATATGGACATTTGATTGACACCCAATGTCGATGAAACTACGTTGTATAAACATCGGCCTTCAAATTCAGAATTTACCACAATACAGGGATAATGTTTGCACTTAATTACTGGCCCAAAAGAATGAAAGTATATTTAGATATACCGCTTAAACCGCTTATGCTGTCATTCCAAGACTGACAAAAGAGAGTTTCCTTATCATATCGTCAATCGAAAATTTTACCGATGTCTGTGCGCTTGCCAAAGAAATTAACTTTTAATGCTAATTTGAAGTTAAATTCAACTTAACCTACTGGAATATACAGCTGGTTGCGACAAATGTATGCTTGTTTAGTTTTTAAGTTGTCGTCGCCACAATGAGTTATCAGACTAGAAGGAAGCTTCCTAAGGAAAAAAGACACCTACAAAAGAAACTGATTTAATATTCGCACTTTTCAGTGATTAACTCATTTTTTTAAGAATGGTTAGTAACTATATCTGCACTTGTAAGAAAAATTGTAGATCGAAAATGAAAAATATCAAGTTTGAACATGAAAATTGGTATCAAACGAAAAAGAAATTAATATTTTGGTACCCGATGGATCTCTAGGATTAAAATGATACCGAGCGCCTAGGGCCATTATGGCTGGTGCAAAACAATGGTTTCTCCGCCTCCTCTACTTTCAGTTAGCGCCCATTTTTCTTATCTCGTTGACCATTAGGAAGAAGAAAGGAAATTACATCATAGGGCGAAACGCCATTGCACAATTTATCAAAGGCACGGTTACATAGGTCAAGTAAAGCATTTTGGGATTCAAGATGGAGGACGAAGGGGCTAGAAACTACGGTTGACGGTCGACTAAAAACATGGCGTTTTCCCGAAATTTTTCTTGCGTTTTAGAAATGGCGTCACATTGAGAACTATTTAGTAGTATTTGTGCTGTTTTTCCACCAAGTTTGGAACCAATTTAGTGGCTTCAATGGCTCCAATTTTTGCAAAGAAAATGCCGAGGACTGAATTATGTCGACAGCAAATTTCAGTAGCGGCGGAAGTCACACGAAACCATTTGGAGAACTACTATGCTCTCCCTCATTGTTGGGTGGGCTTCAACAACAACTATCAATTTGTTTCTTAGCGGTTGACATTCTTCTCTCCATCACAGCATTTGCTGGAAATTCTCTTATCCTTGTGGCTCTTCACAAGGAATCTTCCCTGCATCCGCCGTCCAAACTCCTGTATCTTTGTCCGGCAACCACTAATCTGTTGGTTGGTCTTGTTGTCCAGCCTCTCTATGCTGCATATTTGATATCCGTGGTTCAAGAACAGTGGAGCCTTTGTCGATACGCATATTACGCAGTCTTCATCACCGGCAGTGTATTGTTTTTGGTATCTCTGATGACGATGACAGCCATTAGCGTGGACAGACCTATCGCCCTGATGTTGGGGCTGAGATACAAACAAATTGTAACTTTGAAGCGCACGTATATTATTGTAACTACCTCTTGGGTTTTTACTCTTGTCGCCTCTTTATGTGGAATTTTTTATCGCCGTATAATCCTTTTGTATAGCAGGCTAGTTACATCATTTTGCCTGATAATATCACTCGCATCGTACACAAAGATTTTTTGCACTCTCAGATATCATCAAGCACAAGTAGGAGATCAACAACAGTCGAGCCAAACAAAAGCACAGAATATGGCACGATTCAGAGAGGCAGTGTACAGTGCACTTTGGGTGGAGTTAGCATTAGTTGTTTGTTATGTACCAATATATGTACTGGGAATTGTGATCACTCATACTAAAAAATATTCATTACTCTTGGTCGTCACATGGGAAGTAGCAGTTACTTTACTTTACTTTAACTCGACGTTAAACCCGTTCCTATACTGCTGGAAGATTAGTGAAGTGAGACAAGCAGTGAAACACACAATTAGACAAGCATTTTGCTGAGTAATATCTTCCTTGAGTTCTTCAGACTTTCAAAGCAAACTCATTAAGTCATGATTATTATTAGAGAGCAGTCGTTAAATACGATTTTTGGATAAAAGTAAATAAGTGGCTCAATAGAATAGTTGCACAGGCTGTTGTCGATAGTCTTTATATCTCTGATAACAATTTAACGACGGACTAAGTAACCCTAGCTATGTGTTTTCAAAAATAAGGTTTCTTGCCGCTATGCTAAAATACAAGATGTCATAATCGAAGAAAAGATATGCAAACATTTTACTTTCATGTTTTCTCCTCTTAGTAATATGAAGGCATCAGATAAACCTTGAAAGAGTAGTTTAAGAGATGTGTTTAAGGCCGATGTTGTGTGTTACGATAAAACGATTTCAACTACTTTTCCTATAATTAAAAGGAAACGCTTGACGTTGATGTTGTCTGTTTGTTTTGTGATCAGAAAATTATCCGTAAAGCTTGTGCGAAGAAGTTTTTGCTACTTGTATATTTACCTGAAGGTTACGAAAGTATACGGAATAAAATTGACCATCTCTGTTTATTACAGAATTTTATTGAGTCGTTTTCAAAGCTTTTGTATGAGCTCAGAGTTTGCTTCAATATTATACCAAGGTCCATCTAATTATCGCCCTAATAACGACATGTTTATTTCACCCGCTAATGTAGATGAATAGATCTTTTAAGACTTAGGAGTCCCATATCGTATTGTAAAACAAAAATATATAGCCCATGTATTTGTGTTTGTCAAGGGAATTCACTTTCAATGCTAATTTGAAATTAAACTGAAAGGTTACTGACTGAAATCAACAGCTGGTTGCGACGAACATGTTCTTGTTTAATTATCAAGGTACTGAATTATCATAGAGAATCAGAAAGAAAATTCCCTGGGAAAGAACTCTTGTTAAAGGAAGGATTGACGCATCTTGTAGCGATTAAGTCTTTCGTCTGATTTTTCTGTCAGCTGATCCTCCGTTGGTAAATGAAATGACTGATTTGAAGCCGGAATAAAATGTTGAATTTATAGAGAGTAATTATTTTGCAAAAACGAAATTTTTCCAACTTAAAACGAGGCGGCGAATCTGTGGTGGTTAACTAATTTTTCCTAATCTTTGACAGGGTATTTTCAAAAATTTCTTCGTGCGTCAGTGAGTGGTCATTAATATACGATGCGCACAGAAAGTTTGGAGAGCTGGAAAGATACGCTGGAGTAGCTTAACATGCAACCAAGAGTGATCGTAGGTTCATAAATAATAAATGCTGTTTATGTAGGTTTAACAAGGTGTAGTTTTTAACTCGACTTCGTCACGGGAATTATTCAACAATAATATTATTCACTTCATCTTCAGCAAATAGTTGTGAAATATTTTTATCGAGTGTTGATAGTTTTAAGTATGCATTCCTTCATTTTCTTTCTCGATCAATATATTATCATGTTCAATTTAGCATAATCATATAACTCTGGTTATCGGAGGAGAATGGCAAATCGCTCAGGGGAATTACGACATGAAGAATTCAGTCACAGCTATGTACATGGAAGCGTTGGCAAAGGAAAATTTAGGCGAACTTTGTTATGTAATTTTTTCCAGGACTATCATTTTAAAATTTTTGGCGAAAGGAGGAGAACAAATAGAGAATGTAAAAGAAACAGCGAAAAATTGTTAAAAAAAGTAATTTCCTGCTTTTCTTCTGTTTTGTTTCTCGTTTTGTCCGAGACGAAACGGAGCTAAAAGAGCCACTAAATGTTACTAATGACACTGTTTAATTCAAACATTTTGAAGTAAGTTTGCATCTGTGGCAATGGCTCAACCTTATTCACGCAAATGATATGGACATTTGATCGCCACCCAATATCGATCAAATTAGGTTGTGTAAACATCGGCCCTCGATGGTTCCATGTTCGAATTATTAGCACTGCGGCACGACGTTCTTTCGCCTCGGGTCGTGTTGCTCAAAGTCTCAAACTTATTCACGGGCGAAGTAACTCGTACTGAAGCTTTGATAGTGAGTGCCTTCTCGCAAGCTAAATAAAGCGGAATTGTTTGTTGCAACATGAAAAAAATAATCTTAAAGATGTCTTTAAATATTTGCCTCTTATTCTTATTTCATACGTGATGTTCATCAGCGACAAGTTAGGCTCAAAACAAAGACTTTTTTGACACAGAAAACAATTTTCAGACGTATTTCGTATAGGTAATCACATGAGGCCAAGTACTATTAAGGATTAATTGCACGAGAGTTTTCAAAATTTTCCAAAATTTGGAAAATTTTGGAAAAATCAAGTGCAATTAATCCTTAATAGTACTAGGTCTCATGGGATTACTTGTTTATCAATAAAGGGCAAAATTTATACGAAGGAAAATCACGCGCGCAGTCTATTGTTATCTGGGAAGCAACGGATTAGCAATGCAACGGATTAGCCAATCATTAACAGGTAATCATGCCCTCTCTTGATTACTAAAAATGCCCTCGATTAAGAAAAAAAAGGCCCTCTCTCTCAACCAATCAGCGCTCAGTAATTTTGCCCTTTATTGATAAAAACATGTAAACAGTAGTCAGGAAGTTTTTATTTGAGATGTCATGTAGGAAATAGGGTTCCAGAAATCATCGTTGTGCAATTGGCGTGTAAACGAAATATTTTTCTCGTTGCTATTACAGATTTCTACTTATATTTGAAATATTTGATACATCCAGTTTAATACTGGCCTGTGTTTTCTTCAAGTTTTATTGATCCTATGTCTTCCAACTCCGAGTGATTAACTGTTCCTAACTTTTGCTCCTTTTTCTTTAAACTCGTTTCATGAAGCTTTTTAGGAATTCAGAATTCACCACAATACAGGGATAATGATTGCGCTTAATTGCCGGCCCAAAAGAATGGCAGTATATTTAAATATATGCCTTAAACCGCTTATGTTGTCATTTCAAAAGTAACCAAAGAGAGTTTCTTTATCATATCGTCAAAAAAAAATATTACCGATGTCTGTGTGCTTGGCAAAGGAATTAACTTTTAATGCTAATTTGAAGTTCAATTGAACTTAACCTACTGGAATAAACAGCTGATTGCGACAAATATATGCTTGTTTAGCTTTAAAGCTGCCGTGGCCACAATGAGTTATCAAAGAGGATTAGAAGGAAGCTTCCCAAGAAAAAAGGACTCCCAAATAAGATTAGTAATCGTATTTTTCAGTGTTTAAGTCACTTCTTAAGAATGTCTAGTAACCATATCTGCATTTGTAAGACAAATTTTAGATCGAAAATGAAAAAATATAAAGTTTGAATAAAAATTGGCGTCAAACGAAAAAGAAATGAATATTTTTGTACCCGATAGAACTCTTGGATTAAAACGATATCGAACGCGTGGGGCCATCATGGCTGGTGCAAAACAATGGTTTCTGCGCCTCGTCTATTTCCTACTTAGTGCCCAGAAATCCGCCAGTTACGCATTTGTAGTCTATATTGTCTTGCTCTCACGTGTTTCCCGCGGTTGATGAAGTTTGTTTGTTTCTATTGTGAGTCCATATTACCATTTTGTGATATTCCCCTTTCGTAATTAGCCTTTGAGTTCTTAATCCGGCTTCTAGATTTAAGCAATTGAAATATATTGTAATACAAGCCAGTCACATGTTGTTATGGTTTGTTTTTGACATTAGTCAAAACGGAAAGAAAAAAAAAACACAAAATTGTCATTACAAATTAATTCCAACATTTGCATCTGTGACCAAAGTGTTTGATGTATCACGATTGTCTCAAATCCAACTTTTCTAAGACCAAGTAAAATCGCCAGCTTGAAATTCTTATTTCCAATTTTTCATGGCTAATAATGATATAAGTCTGAACTACATACAACTCAGACATGGTTTGATGCTACTCCGGTTTAAAGATTTAAGGAATGTAACCGAGAAGTTACAATTCATAGACCCAACGTTTCGACACTCCTGTCTAGTGCCTTCATCATACAAATCATTATGGACACCTAGTTAGCACTCTACCAGTGAAATTTAATCCAGGTCATAGGAGATTTTTCGTCATTCTGTCATGTCTCTCCATTTTCTACTTATTTCTATTCAATACCTGAGGCACTTCGAAGGTTTCTGACGTATTTTGAATTAGTAAACGCTGGTGAGGAAGTCTCTACGTGAAAATCATTAAAGAAGTATAAGTTGTTATTGATCGTGGCTGATGTGGGTTGTTTAGACGAAATACTGATTTTTTTGTTGCAATTTTAGATAACCTACAAGAAAAGAGGAACGAATGAAGAATGATATCTACAACAAATTTAATTAGAGGTGGAACACAGACGAAAACAATTGAAGAACTGCTATACTCTCCCTCTTAAGAGGGTGGACATCAATCAGCATCAGTTTCAAACCTGAGGCATCCCACGGCTTCAAATTTCGGACGCATTTTAAATAATTAAACACTAGTAAGGAAGTCTCAATGTGTTTATTAAAGAAAGATTTTAGTTTTCATCGTTCGGCGTGTCTTGTTTAAACGAAATATTTCTCGTTGCAAGAACAGATAACCTCAGTACAAGAAAAAGGAAACGAATATCGAATAATGTCGATAACAAATTTGAGTAGGAGTGGAACGCAGACGAAAACATTTAGAGAACTGCTATGTTCACCCTCTTTAGTGGATGGGCTTCAACAAGAATCAGTTTCTTTCGCAGCAGTCAACATTTTCCTCTCCATCACAACATTTCTTGGGAATTCTCTTATTCTTTTTGCCCTTCATAAAGAATCTTCCCTTCACCCGCCGTCCAAACTCTTGTATCGTTGTCTGTCAACAACTGATCTGTTGGTTGGTCTTGTTGCTTAGCCTCTCCATGTCATTTGTTGGATGTCTGTGGTTCTCACTGAAGCCTGGAGCCTTTGTCATTACGCAGGGGAAGCAGCCTACATTACAGGGATAGCATTATGTGGAGTTTCTTTGCTGACGATGACGGCAATAAGCGTGGACAGACTTCTCGCCCTGTTGTTGGGTCTGAGATACAAAGACATTGTAACTTTGAAACGCATCTATATCATCGTGGCTACCGTTTGGGTTTTATGTTCTGTCGGCTCTTTAAGCACCATTCTTGATCAGCGTATAACCTCTTTTTATGGCGCGGGCTGGACACTGATACCACTTTCACTGCTTATTTCACTCGCCTCGTACACAAAGATTTTTCGCACTCTCAGACATCTTCAGGCACAAGTACAAGATCATATTCAACAAAAGCCGAGCCAACCAAATGCACAGAACATGGCGCGATACAGAGAGGCAGTGCACAGTGCACTGTAAGTACAGTTAGCGTTAGTTGTTTGCTATGATCATCCTATATGGTGGGAATTGTAGTCTCTTATAGTACAACATATTCATCACACTTAGTCATTACAAGGGGAATGGCAACTATCCTTGTTTACTTTAACTTGAAATTAAACCCGTTTCTTTACTGCTGGAAAATTAGTGAGGTGAGACAAGGAATGAAGCTGACAATCAGACAAGCACTTTGCTGTCCATGGAGTTAGACCATCCTCGAGTTAAACTGGATCGTATAAGTACTTTCAGTGCAAAGATGACCGATAGAGAACGCTTGTCACGCTTTTTTTTTTTTTGTCATCAGAAAAATATCCATAATGTCTATGAATGTTTGAAAATGTAATTGATAATGATATAATAAAACAAACATTGTGTAAGTGGGTGTATAGATTTAAATAAACACTTTCCTTTTCCTGATGAATTCTTTTCAAAACCTCTAATTTTCCGAGATTAAACGTAAGACACCATCTTCTCCGCCCATCTAAAGATAAATTTCTACCAGAGAAGACGAAGTTTAATATAATTGCGAAATACTAATGGTATCAAAGATGTCTGTCTGTACGTTTGACTCTTAAAGCTCATTTGTACTATTTTGGTCACTTTTCCTTATGAACTTCCATAGGGAGCTAATCAAGTGTCCACATCATCTGAGTGAAATTAGGACTTCAATCATTATCAGCCTCGACAAACTGAAATTACGAAGATCAAGCTGGCAACTTTGAATGATCGAAGAAAAAATTGGATTCGTGCCATCTCCTTATGCATCAACTATCAAAATGTAAATTAATTCAAATGTTAAAAAGAAGCTTAAATCTGAGGGATTGTTTATCACATTTTGATTTTAAAAAATGATATTGCAGATATCTCTATTTTTACTTTTATTGCTATTTTATCCGTGAGCCACCCACAGGTTCCAACGGTCGATCAGCTAGAAAGGGATAGTTTTCGCCTTGCGAAAAAAATGATGTCACAGATGTCTCTCTATTTGCTTCTTACTGCTATTTCATAGAAGAGGCTCGTCACAGGTTCCAGAAAAAAGAAATCAAATCCTAGGCACAACAGACAATTTGCTTACGCACTTTGAATGAGCAAACGCTGATGAGGAAGTCTTTATGTGTTTATTGAAGGAAATTTCGGTCATCGTCGCACGGTGTATGTTGTTTAGACGAAACATTTCTCGTTGCCAGTTGCCTCAGTACAAGGAAAAGGAAACGAATACAGAAAAATGTCGACAACAAAGTTCACTAGCGGGGGAACGCAGAGCAAAACATTTGAAGAACTGCTATGAACCCCATCTTTTGCTGGTGGATTACATCAACGATTTACTTTTTTCTCAGCAGTGTACATTCTCTTCTCCATTACAGCATTCCTTACAAATTCTCTCATCCTTGTTGCCCTTCACAAGGTATCTTCCCTCCACCCGCCGTACAAACTCCATTACCATTCTCTGGCAACAACTGAGCTGTTGGTTGGTCTTGTTGCCCAGCCTCACTATGCTGCCTATTGGATGTCCTCGGTTCAGGAACACTGAAGCCTTTGTCGTTACGCATTTGACGCAGCCTACATTACGGGCTCTGCATTGTTTTTAGCGTCTTTGATGACGATGACGGCCATAAGCGTGCACAGACTTCTCGCCATGTTGTTGGGGCTGAGGTATAAACAAATTGTAACTTTGAAGCGCACATATATCATTGTAGCTACCATCTGGGTTTTATCTCTAGTCTCTTCTTGATGCACTCCTCTTGAGCATCGTATAACTCTACCACTTTGCCTGGTTATTTCACTCGCATCATATACAAAGATTTTTCGTACTCTCAGATATCATCAGGCTCAGGCAGAAGATCCTGTTCAACAACAGCCTAAATGTACTGAACATAGCTCAATACAGAAAAGCAGTGTGTAATGCACTGTGGGTGAAGTTAACATTAGTTGTTTGTTTTGCACCATTCTTTATCGTGGTAACCGTGATTGCACATAGTAAAACACATTCATCGCACTTGGTCATCCTAAGGGGAATAACCGTTGTCTTGGTTTACTTTAACTCGACGTTAAACCCGTTTCTTTACTGCTGGAAGATAAGTTAAGTAAGACAAGCAATGAAGCAGACAATCAGACAAGCACTTTGCTGTCCATGAAGTCAGACCATCTTGAGTTTTACCGGATCGTACTGGTAATTTCAGTTCAAAACTGACTGATAGGGAACGCTCGTCAATCAGCGAAACCATGATAAATATCTTTGCTCGAGGTCTCTTGATTGTATTTTTCGCACCTTAACAACTAAAGGGAAGGCAATGGAAAAACTAACCATGAATTTATAAAAAAAGTTTTAATGCTACTTCACGTTATCATGATTAGATCAATTAATAATCTAAGAAAAGATATGCGCGCGCATGATCATACTCTCACGTTTGTTATTACAAGAAAGTTTAAGGAAAAAAAATTGAACCAAGAACGGTCAGTACAAAGTTCTCTTTCGGGTTCACCGTTTTGCTGAAGTTATATGCTAAAGGGAAAAAGGAATATTTAATGGAAAAAATATCGACTTGCAAAAATATCAGTTAGAGAGGGTCGCTTTATTTCCAGTTTGTTCCTGGTGTATTTTTCAGTTGCCTCCAAGTGATGTTGATTCTATGTTTACCATTTCCGAGCGATTAAATTCAGAATTGACCAAAATACAGCGAGAATATTTCCAATTGATTATCGGGCCTAGAAATAGCAGTATATCTAAATATACTGCTTATTCATTACTTAAGAAAAGTCGAAGTCGAGTTCCTTTATTGTTTTGAAAACAGTAACATAGCATTTCTTCATGTTTGCCAAGGGATTTGACTTTAGTGCTAATTTGTACTCGAAATAAATTTTACTGATTGAGGTAAACTGCTTATAGCGGCCAATTTAAACACAGTGGTCAAACATGCGCATGCACGTGTTTTGAAAAGAATACGAGGGATTTTCAAACGCGTTTATTACGCGAGGTGAAGAAATAAAAGTTAAATTCCTAAATATTCCAAATTGAATGCGTAATACAGTTAAAAGAGGGTTTTCAGAGAAAAATTAAATCTTGGTCTTATTTTATGTTGAGATATATTAACTCATTTTTAACGCAGACGCCTTGTTCCGGCGATGAAGACAAATAACAGAAGCTTACTTTTACCCTCGCCAGCATGGCCAAGCTTATGACTTCATTTACACCGCTAAGCAAAGTGCACAACATTGATCAAGTCTAAAACAATAATGTGTATAAGTCTAGGCCTTAGAAACTTTGAACTTTCCAAAGAAACAGCAAAAACTACGCATCATTTAGATTCGCAATGTTTACCATAACAAATTATCCATGTAAAAGCGCATGCGTAATCATTATTGCCTAAGCGGAGGAAATTAGAAGTTCAATGGAATCGTTGTACGTCGATCTTTCGTCAATAGTCTTTTCAAAGAGTAAACGCTAGTTAGAGAGTTCTGAAGTAAATGTTGCTGATGAAGGTAGAATTGAAGATCTTTGTGTCGAGTTTTGATAATTCCTTAGCATACGTCCATTGATTTTCGACCACCACTTAAAAATTGTTTTCTTTACTTCAGTATTAAGATGTAACTGTTGTGATTTGTGGCAAATTTTGTGGCAAATGTGGCAAATTTTGACATTTGCCCAAGAGCATCGCAAAATTACCTGCCTTTTACACGGGAGCTTTCTTGGTACAAAAACACTTTTATTATCTCAATAACCAGACGTAGGAAGAAAGAAAATTAGATCAAAGGGTCACATAGGCTCACTTTTCCTCGTTATTGTTTAGTACTGTCTTCAATAAAGGAAGAATATTTCAATTGGGCACTCAGATGACATCGTATCTTGATGTACTGCTTATTTCATCATTTAAAAAGATGACAAAAAAAGTTCTCCTATCGTATTGTCAAACAGTAATACAACCGATGTCTATTTGTTTGTCAACGAAATTACCTTTCGGTGCTAATTTGTACTAAAACTGAAATTCTTTGAGATTAAAAACTTGTCGCAGCCCACACAAACGCTTTTAGTAGTTTGATCAGCTGCTGAAATTGAAAATTTCTGGATAAAACTCTTACTCTGTATTAAAGAATTGGATGAGTTGTTGGTTTGTCTATCAGCAGTCTTCTATTCCAAAATTAAAACAATGAATCTAAAGTTGATATATGAATATATATAAACCTATTTTCGAAAATGTTGCTATTTAAAAAAAGCATTGTAAATAGTCTTTATAAATGTATATATTTTTTCTTTTCTCATCACAAAGTGTCTCTTTTTGAAGAGAAAAGAAAAGTCATAGTTTTTTTATATAAATTTTCAAACAGGTATTTACATATATGTATAACGTCGAAAGAAACGTAGTCATGTAAACGAGACATAATACAAGTCCGAATCTGTCGTGGCAAGTAGGTGTCTTCTACCCGATACCCGATGTCTTTGTGTTTGCTAAGGTAATTAACTTTTAACGCTAATTTGAATTTAAATTAAACTTATTCTACTGCGGGTATTTACATATATGTAGAACGTCGAAAGAAATATAATCCGGCACGTAAACGAGGCCTAATACAAGTCCGAATCTGTCGTAGCAAGCAGGTGTCTTCTTAACAACTTATTTGTTCCTCAGTGTGCGATATAAAGCACGTGGCAGTTTTAGAGAGTTTGAAGGATGGGTCAGAATCGATAAAGACGAAGCCTCTCCTGGAACAATGGTAAATTTTTCATCGACTGTTGATAAGGTTTGAGCGCCTATCCCTTCATTTTCCATCTCGATTAATAAATTATCCTGTTTACTTCAATATTGGGAACTAATTGTCATCACCAAAGGAGAATTGTCAGTTGCCTAGGACTACCACAGAAACAAAAATTGAATAACTTTCCTTTTACAGTTGCAGAAAATGGTTTGCTGGTGTGATAACTTGATCATGTTACTATTTCCGCAATTGATAAACAGTTAATTTCAAATATGTTGAAACAAGTTTGTATGTGTGGCCGTGTATTAATTTTGAATAGTTGTGTAGTCTAAGTAGTACATTGGGTGATTGTCACGAATTCAATTTTTCTCCCAGAACAATTGACATCGCCAGCTTGAGCTTTTGCATTTTTAACTTTCCGTAGCTGATAATGATTCAAGTCTTAACTTCACACGAAAGATATGGACCCTTGACTAGCATCCTATTATAATGGGATTTGATTCTGGTAAAAAGCGGCTCTTTGCCGCACTGTATATGAAAACACCGAAATAACAGATGTTTCTACATGTGCCTTTAATTGCTATTTTATAAAAGAGGCACCCAAAGATTCCCGGGAAAAATACATTTTTTTTGACCCAGTAGAAAATTTCCTAATGCATTTTGAATGAGTAAGTCTTTATGCGTCTGTTAGTTAGGAAGTTAGGCTTCAGTAATCCTTGCTGCCATTTTCCGTTGCAAGAACAGAAACCTACAAGAAAAGGGACACGCCGAAGACAGAATTATGTCGACAACAAATTTCAGTAGCGGTAGAAGTCGCACGGAATCATATAAAGAACTGCTATGCTCTCCCTCTTTGGTGGGTGGGCTTCAACAACAACTATCAATTTGCTTCCTAGCGGTTGACATTCTCCTCTCCATCACATCATTTGCTGGAAATTCTCTTATCCTTGTTGCCCTTCACAAAAAATCTTGCCTGCATCCGCAGTCAAAACTCCTGTATCGTTGTTTGGCAACCACTGATCTGTTGATTGGTCTTGTTGCTCAGCCTCTCGATGCTCTATGTTGGATGTCCGTGGTTCAGGAACACTGGAGCCTTTGTCGATACGCAAGGGACGCAGCCAGCGCCACAGGCCGTGTATTGAGTTTAGTGTCTTTGATGACGATGACGGCCATAAGCGTGGACAGACTTCTCGCCCTGATGTTGGGACTGAGATACAAACAAATTGTCACTTTGAAGCGCGCGTATATTATTGTAACTACCTTTTGGGTTTTTACCCTTGTCGCCTCTTTAAGTGAATTTTTTTATCACCGTATATTCTTTATGTACAGCTCCCTAGTTATGTCATTTTGCCTGGTAATATCATTCGCATCGTACACAAAGATTTTTTGCACTCTCAGATATCATCAAGCACAAGTAGGAGATCAACAACAGCCGAGCCAAACAAATACACTGAACATGGCGCGATTCAGAAAGGCAGTATACAGTGCACTGTGGGTGCAGTTGGCATTAGTTGTTTGTTATGCACCACTATGTACAGTGAATATTGTGATCGCTCATACCAAAAAATATTCATTTCTCTTATTCGTCATAGATAAAGTAGCAATTATTTTACTTTGCTTCAACTCGACGTTAAACCCGTTCCTATACTGCTGGAAGATTAGTGAGGTGAGACAAGCAGTGAAGCAGACAATTAGAGAAGCACTTTGCTGAGTTATGTCTTCCTTGAGTTCTTCAGACTTTCAAAGCAGACTCATTAAGTCATGATTATTATTAGAGAGCAGTCGTTAAATACGTTTTTGAATAAAAGTAAATAAGTGGCTCAATAGAATATATAGTTGCACAGGCTGTTGTCGAAAGTCTTTATATCTCTGAGAAAAATTTAACGACAGACTAGGTAACCGTAGCTATGTGTTTTCAAAAATATGGTTTCTTGCCGCTATGCTAAAATACAAGATGTCATAATCGAAGAAAAGATATGCAAACATTTTACTTTCATGTTTTCTCCTCTTAGCAATATGAAGGCATCAGATAAAACTTCGAAGAGTAGTTTAAGAGATGTGTTTGAGGCCGATGTTGTGTGTTTCGAGAAAACTATTTCGACTCATTTTTCCTGTAATTAAAAGAAAGCGCTTGACGTTGATGTTGACGCCATATTGCCAAAAGAGACAGTCCAGTTTAAGTCTAGAATTTGTTTGTTTTGTGATCAGAAAATTATCCGTAAAGCTTATGTGAAGAAGTTTCTGTTACTTGTATTTTTAACTGAAAGTTACGAAAGTGTATGAAATAAAATTGATCATCTCTGTTTGTTATGGAATTTTTTTTACAGATCGATCGATGTGCCGAAGTTATATTGGCAACGGCGAAAAACAAGTTTCGTATTATTGTATAGAGGTCACCATATGTTCAGTTTCTTACTGGTGTATCTTTAGGTTGTCTCTGAGTTCTACGAATTTTATTTCCTCCATTTCCGAGTGATTAACTGCTGTCCCAAAGTTCCTCAAATGTTTTTTTTTATTCGTTTTCAAAGCTTTATTATGAGCTCAGAATTTGCTTCAATACTATACCATCTAATTATCGGCCTAAAAACGACATGTTTACTTCACCCATTAAAGAAGTGATAAAATAGATCTTTTAAGACCTAGGAGTCTCATATCGCATTGTAAAATAAAAAAATATAGCTCATGTCTTTGTGTTTGTCAAGGAAATTCCCTTTCAATGCTAATTTGAATTAAACTGAAACGTTATCTAGTAAAATCAACAGCTGGTTGCGACAAACATCTTTTTGTTTGATTAGTTTTAAAGCTACCGTCGCTGTACTGAAAAGAAAATTCCCTGTGAAAGAACTCTTTCTGAGGAAGGATTGACGCATCTCTTAGCAATTAATTAAGTCATTCATCTAGTTTTTCTGTCAGCTAGTCTTTGCATCTTTGGCCTTACATCCTCAAACTTATTCAATTCGCATTGAAGCCATAATATTGAGTGCCTTCTCGCAAGCTAAATAAAGCGGGGTTGTTTGTTGCAACATGAAACAATAATTTTAAAGATGTCTTTGAATAGTTGCCTCTTATTCATATTTCATACGTGATGTACATGACAAGTTAAGCACAAAAAAAAGCTTTTTGACACAGCGAACAATTTCCTGACGTATTTCAAACGTATAAACAATAGTGAGAAGGTTTTCATTTGAAATGTTACGTAGGAAATAAGGTTTCAGGGATCGCTCTTGTGCAATTGGTGTTAACTAAAATGAAATATTTTTCTGGATGCTATCACAGATTAACTCATGGCAAGAATATTGTCAACTTTTTGAAAATATTTGATATATCCAGTTTAATGCTGGTCTGTGTTTTCTTCAAGTTTTATTGATCTTATGTCTCCCAACCCGAGTGATTAATTATTCCTAACTTTCGCTTCTTTTTCCTTGAACTCGTTCCATGACGCTTTTTAGGAATTCAGAATTCACCACAATACAGGGATAATGTTTGCACTTAATAACCGGCCCAAAAGAATGACAGTATATTTAAATATACCGTTTAAACCGCTTATGCTGTCATTCAAAAACTGACAAAAGAGAATTTCCTTATCATATCGTTAAACAGAAATATTACTGACCGATGTCTGTGTGCTTGCTAAAGGAATTAACATTAAAGGAAGAAAAATTGTAGATCGAAAATGACAAATGTAAAGTTGGAATAAAAATTGGCATCAAACGAAAATAAATTTTTTTTTTGGTACCCGATGGAACTCTGGGATTAAAACGATACCGAGCGCGTAGTGCCATCATGGCTGATGGTTTCTCCGCCTCCTTTATTTTCAGTTAGCGCCCATTTCTCTTACCTTGTTGACCAAAGGGATGAAGAAAGGAAATTACATCGTGGGGCGAAATAGGCAAAATAGGGAAAACAGTTTTTGTTAAAAAAAAAATCATCATAACTTTCCTGACGAAAGTGAAAAAGCTGGTAGAGAACGAGTTTGAAAAAATCGATGGCGCGCGGCATAACATCGTGTTACGGTTTTGTTTAATATCAGTCCGGGGACGAAAAGCGGAAAGAAAAAACCTGTCATTACAAATTGATTCAAACATTTAAAAATACGTTTACATCTGTGACCAAAATTTACATTTAAATTGTTTGATGCATTCGCAGATTGTCTCAAATCGCACTTTTCTAAGACCAAATAAAATCGCGCCAGCTTGAAATTTTAATTTCCAATTTTTCATGGCTACTAATGACACAAGTCTGAACTTCACACGAATAATATGGACACCAGGTTAGCACCCTATCAGTGACAGTTGATCTAGATAAAAGGAGATTGTTCGTCGTTCTTTTTAAAAGAATGATACCACAGATGTCTCTCCATTTTCTACTTATTTCCATTTCATACCTGAGGCACTTCAAAGGCTAAATTTTTGAACACAACTGACAATTTTCTGACATATTTTAAACGAGCAAACACTGATGAAGAATTCTCAGTGTGTATAAATATCATTATTGAAGTATGAGGTGTAATTGATCGTGGCTGGATGTGGGCTGTTTAGACGACATATTACTCGTTGCAATCTTAGATAACCTACAACAAATTTCAGAGAGTTGGAACACAGACGAAAACAATTGAAGAACTGCTATGCTCTCCTCTTTGTTGGTTGGGCTTCAACCAGAATCAGTTTCATACCTGAGGCATCCCACAGCTGCAAATTTCTGACGCATTTTAAATGATTAAACGCGAGGGAGGAAGTCTATATGAAAGGTTTCAGTTATCATAGTTCGGCGTGTCCTGCTTAGACGAAATATTTCTCGTTGCAAGAACAGGGGAAGCTCCATAAACTGACCATGAGACAATAATCATTGTCAAGAACAAGGCTTCTTCTTTTAGAAACTGCAATAAAATTTTTGGGCTATTTAAACCACTAATTTTTAGAGCGATTTATATAAGAGGCGCGTTACGTGACCAACGTGACTTGCACGTCATATTAAGAAAAACATTACCAAAACACTCGAATTCCCTCTTATTTCATATAAAAACTTCGAAACAGGTCTCTTTCATATTAAATATACATATGATTTTCTCCTGAAGCCAAAAAGTCAAGGCAATCTGGGCAATCTTCGATAGTCTAGTATATGCAAATTGCTGGTTTATGTTGTTACAACGGTCATATTCGCAAGTAATACCAACCCAACGATAAAAAAAAAACTTTTAACATCAGAAGGAATTGCCCAGGCTATAATTACACAAAAGTTACTTTTTAGAAGTGGTTTCCATGTCAAGAGTACGCACTTTAACCCGCTTCACCGTTTTCAAAACTTATCCATGCTAGCATTTCTCGCCACTGCAGTGCGATCGATGGTATGTGATTGCGTTACACACAGGAAGTCCATTAAGTGATGATACAGAAGATGACCAACGTTTTTAACAGAACAAGGTTGGTCTATAAAATCCTTTCGATCTAAAACATGTTTATGTAAACGTGAGGTTTTCACTGTCAATTTTTTTTTTATAACAAAGCTTCAAAGGGATAATCTTAAGGCAGTTGGAATAATGTTGGCGTCCCTCTATTCCATGAGTCATTACTTTCTGAATACGAAGACTATAGTCAGTTCCAGCTGGAAAGTTCCTATTTTTCTTTGCACGTACACGACTTTATCAGTTCATTGATCAGACCAACGTATGGCGCTTTTCGTGTAGCAGGAAGGGAATCGATTTCCAATTGGAAATATGTGCATATATCTTGAAGGAAAGAAATAATGAAACGAGTAAGCTTGTTCGTGGCATACAGTTGACAGAGGTGGTATGTGTCATACAAAATGGGATGACTAAGCTGGCACTCTTGAATTATCTTGTCATGAGCTGAGGAGTATGCCATTTCTTCATCAATGGCTGGTACATCGATCTCTGCCACCGATCCGCCTGTTTGATCTTTACTGCTGACCTTGAGAAATACGACTTTATCTGCTGTGGTGATAAAAACTCGCCAACAGCAAATTGACGCTCTCCGTTTTCATTTTAGCGCGACGCATATCACTCGCAACTTGGGATGGATCTTCTTTGTAACAAGTCTCCTGGCCAAGTTTGAACTCTTCATCGAGATAATTCTTTTGGTTTTCGTTGAAATGCTTTGATTTCTTAGACGCCCTCAGTGACCAGCCTTCCGAAAGTTTAGTCGAGCTTGACATCAGTGCAGTAAAGCTGGCCATTTGAGGTTGTGTGCTTGTTCCTTCTGTCAGCTTTTGCACATAGAGTATCTTTGCTTTTATCAATGAGGGTAGTTTTCTCTTCTGCTATCCTGATACTATTTCTTATCAAGGTGGCGGTCAGGATGGTATTCTGATGTATACTCACGTGACTCCCACCGGAACTGAAGTGTAGATGTTAAAGCATAAAGCTTTTGAGACTGTTCCAGAGTCATGCCTCGATCACCTTTCCGAGAAGACTTCCCATGTGGAGCCCAATCCGATGGACAGGAGCATTTTTTTTTAATTGCATAACCATCTAGTCCCGAAGTTGTCTTTATGTCTGGGACAAATTGAAAGTTCTTTATGGCTTTCCTCGACTTCAAATATCCCTGAAAAAGCGAAGTCGTTTACTTGTTCACTCAGAATGATAGAAATAAAAAGCAAAACAAACAAGCAAACCAAACAAACAAACACACATACACGCACAAACAAAAACATAAGACAACGAAACAAACAAACGAAATTTCATATCATGGGAAC